CCTCCTAAGGTCTCCCAACGTCAAGAAAACGGTCAATTTAAAGTGTTCTATCTCCTAAACTACCTGAGGACCCAAAACAGAAAACGGGACTGTGGCCTGATGTAGAGAGCTTTTCAATGTGCTTAGATTTGATTTTGTTTGACTGAACTTTACTCCTTACCTTGAAGTTACATTGAAGTTACATTGAAGTTACCTTGAAGTGTTTCCGGGGCTTAGCGTTCCCGCGGCCCGGTCGTAGACCAGGCCTCCTCGTTGCTGGACTGGTCAATTATGCATTATATTTGACAGGAAATTGAATATCCATCCTCCTACTTTACCTGCTATTCTTATTGATCTCGTTTCATGCCCTACCACTCCATGGTCACATTTATCAAACACCTTTGTAAAGTTAACATACTAAAAGAATGAAATCTAGTGACATTATAAAAGTTGACCAGAGCTATGATATGATCACAACGTAGAAGATACCCACGGGAATAGACAAAGTGAATAGAGACGGTCCCTTGGGAAGGATAACAGACCGAAGTTGCAAACACAGATGAAGCACACAAACGTCAGGAAATAGCCGCATGTAGTGAGAGTGGGAAACAAGGAATGAATGAACTTTGAAGAGGGTGGAAACCCTTCACACCTTCATTAACAAGTATGACAGTACTGTTAAGTCGTTCATCATAACTGGCCGAGGCAGCCTTCAGTAGGTAAGACCTTAACTGGGTAAACACAATTCAGCATGAGCGAATAAATACAATCGAATGCGCTCACACAAGAGACGGGGCCGAAGAGCTGAAGCCCACCCTGGGCAGGCCGGGGCAGGAGTACACACACACACACACACACACCAAAGGTAAACAATGACATCGCTTTAAGGAAATTATGAGGCTGCCACCAGCTGACACCGGCGACGGTCACAGCAACAGGTCCTCTTATACGAGCGGCCGGTGGAGGCGGCGGCCGCTGTAGGCCGTAATGGTGGTGGAGGAACAGGGTCAGGTCAGGTTACATAGTGGGGGGGGGGGGAGGAGGGTACAGGAGGCGGGGCAAGGGAGGAAAGGGAAGAGGAAGAGGAACGGCCGCTAAGAGAAAGATGAGGGAGAAGGGACAAGATAAGAAGTATAGAACACAACACAGATATTTGCTTATTAAGAAGTGACGTGAGTTACGGATCTTGGAACAATAATCAAGAGACCCAGCGACCAGAGGTAACAATAACGCTAACAGCAACAGCCGGACAAATCCCAAGGTGGATGATGCGGACCTTCAAGACAAGGGACGCCGCTCTAGTGATGGTACTCTTCAGAGCTCTGGTACTCCCTCTCCTGGGGAAAGTGTTCAATCCTCACAGCTGAGGATTGAACACTATTAATACCTGGTCGATGGGGTTCTGGGAGTTCTTCTACTCCCCGTGTGAGAGCTTGGTCCACCAGGCTGTTGCTGGGAGCGGCCCGCAGGCCCACCACAGCCAGGTCCACCAGGCTGTTGCTGGGAGCGGCCCGCAGGCCCACCACAGCCAGGTTCTCCTGCCAACATATATAAGAAACGTCCCTGAAGGGAAGGGAATTATCAGGAGAAAGCATCAAGCCATTAGGACAATATAAAGCGTCCCTGAAACAACAACGGTGAAGATTTTAGGAGATAAAATGACTTCTGTTGTGGTGACAGGATCAGCCTGGTTGTGATGGTTGTGGTTGTGACGGCTGTGGTTGTGATGGCTGTGGTTGTGACGGCTGTGGTTGTGATGGTTGTGGTTGTGACGGCTGTGGTTGTGATGGCTGTGGTTGTGACGGCTGTGGTTGTGATGGCTGTGGTTGTGATGGTTGTGGTTGTGACGGCTGTGGTTGTGATGGCAGTGGTTGTGATGGCTGTGGTTGTGATGGCTGTGGTTGTGATGGTTGTGGTTGTGACGGCTGTGGTTGTGATGGCTGTGGTTGTGATGGCTGTGGTTGTGATGGCTGTGGTTGTGATGGCTGTGGTTGTGATGGCTGTGGTTGTGATGGTTGTGGTTGTGATGGCTGTGGTTGTGATGGCTGTGGTTGTGATGGCTGTGGTTGTGACGGTTGTGGTTGTGATGGTTGTGGTTGTGACGGCTGTGGTTGTGATGGCTGTGGTTGTGATGGCTGTGGTTGTGATGGCTGTGGTTGTGATGGTTGTGGTTGTGATGGCTGTGGTTGTGACGGCTGTGGTTGTGACGGCTGTGGTTGTGACGGCTGTGGTTGTGACGGCTGTGGTTGTGACGGCTGTGGTTGTGACGGCTGTGGTTGTGATGGCTGTGGTTGTGACGGCTTTGGTTGTGATGGCTGTGGTTGTGACGGCTGTGGTTGTGACGGCTGTGGTTGTGATGGCTGTGGTTGTGACGGCTGTGGTTGTGATGGCTGTGGTTGTGACGGCTGTGGTTGTGATGGCTGTGGTTGTGACGGCTGTGGTTGTGACGGCTGTGGTTGTGATGGCTGTGGTTGTGACGGCTGTGGTTGTGATGGCTGTGGTTGTGATGGCTGTGGTTGTGACGGCTGTGGTTGTGACGGCTGTGGTTGTGATGGCTGTGGTTGTGATGGCAGTGGTTGTGATGGCTGTGGTTGTGATGGCAGTGGTTGTGACGGCTGTGGTTGTGATGGCTATGATTGTGACGGCTGTGGTTGTGATGGCTGTGGTTGTGACGGCTGTGGTTGTGACGGCTGTGGTTGTGATGGCAGTGGTTGTGACGGCTGTGGTTGTGACGGCTGTGGTTGTGATGGCTGTGGTTGTGATGGCTGTGGTTGTGACGGCTGTGGTTGTGATGGCTGTGGTTGTGATGGCAGTGGTTGTGACGGCTGTGGTTGTGATGGCTGTGGTTGTGATGGCTGTGGTTGTGATGGCTGTGGTTGTGACGGCTGTGGTTGTGATGGCTGTGGTTGTGATGGCAGTGGTTGTGACGGCTGTGGTTGTGATGGCTGTGGTTGTGATGGCTGTGGTTGATTTCGAGATAATTCTCGAAATCGTCAACAAGTAGGTGTACAGAGAGAGAGAGAGAGATGAGAGGAGAGAGAGAGAGAGAGAGAGAGAGAGAGAGAGAGAGAGAGAGAGAGAGAGAGAGAGAGAGAGAGAGAGAGAGAGAGACCTTCGGGGGATTCCTGTACCGGAATTTGACCCCTATTGTTGGTTCTGGGATCAACGTCCCCACGGCCCGGTCTCTGACCAGGCCTCCTGTTTGATTATCTGACCAACCAGGCTGTTGGACGCTGCTGCTGCTGTACGCAGACTGTCATAAATATCACAGTCTAGTTGATCAGGGACCTTTGGGTTGACCAAACCACCAAACAGGTGCTGGGATTCATGAAGCAGTTACGCAAGTACTTACGAACCTGTATATCTTTTCTCAATCTTTGGCGGCTTTGTTTACAATTATTAAACAGTTAATGAGCTCCGAAGCACCAGGAGGCTGTTTATAACAATAACAACAGTTGATTGGGATGTTTTCATGCTTGTAAACTGTTTAATATATGTAACCAAAGCCGTCAAAAATTGAGGAAAGATGTACACGTTCTTAAGTACTTGCGTAACTGCTTCGTGAATCTGGTCCCATGCTCTCGAGGTCCGCTCCAGGTGATTGGTGGTCTGGTCCCGCTAAAGGTAGGTGATCATGGTGGCCCGGTGGTGGCCCGGTGGTGGCACGGTGGTGGCCCGGTGGTGGCCCGGTGGTGGCCCGGTGATGGCCCGGTGGTGGCCCGGTGATGGCCCGGTGGTGGCCCGGTGGTGGCCCGGTGGTGGCCCGGTGGTGGCCCGGTGATGGCACGGTGGTGGCCCGGTGGTGGCCCGGTGATGGCACGGTGGTGGCCCGGTGGTGGCCCGGTGGTGGCCTGGTGATGGCACGGTGGTGGCCCGGTGGTGGCCCGGTGATGGCACGTTGGTGGCCCGGTGGTGGCACGGTGATGGCCTGGTGGTGGCCCGGTGGTGGCCCTGTGGTGGCCCGGTGGAGGCCTGGTGGTGGCACGGTGCCACCGTGGTGTTCTTGAGTGCCTTACAAAGATAACAACCCTACCAATTAGACGGAAATTACTTAAAAGTGCAGCTACTGAAGATAACATTGGGGTTAACGGGAGAGTTATCAAGGGGACAGGCAACAGGAGGGAGGATATCAAGAGGGAGAGGCAACAGGAGGGAGGATATCGAGGGGGGGGAGGCAACAGGAGGGAGAATATCGAGAGGGATAGGCAACAGGAGGGAGGATATCGAGAGGGCGAGGCAACAGGAGGGAGGATATCGAGAGGGCGAGGCAACAGGAGGGAGAATATCAAGAGGGAGAGGCAACAGGAGGGAGAATATCGAGAGGGATAGGCAACAGGAGGGAGGATATCGAGAGGGCGAGGCAACAGGAGGGAGGATATCGAGAGGGCGAGGGGAGTTTTAACGGGAAGGGTCGCAGTAATCACGGGTAACACTACCCCTCCCAGGAAGTGCATTAGGGGCAAAAATGTTGTGTTGCCACGGCTTTATCACTACTGGGAGGGGGGGGGGACGGAGAGAGAGAGAGAGAGAGAGAGAGAGAGAGAGAGAGAGAGAGGGAGAGGGAGAGGGAGAGGGAGAGGGAGAGGGAGAGGGAGAGGGAGAGAGAGAAATGTACTCCAAATTAAAAATGAGAAACGAAAGCGTAAAGAAAATGTATCTTTTAAAAAGAAGTCACGAAAAGAGACATCAACAACAAAGAGGGAAATAGATACTAATACAAAACAGCAAAATACAGCCAAAAGGAAAACAAAAATGTAAACAAAAGCTTAATTTGAAAACATTAAATTGTTCCACGCTTACGTCTATTGTTTCACTCATCACTCACTATTTCTTAAATGTTCGTTCACTTCTCAATTCTCTCTCTCTCTCCTTAGTATGCCATTATCCGCTCCGCGACCCACATCCACCTTATTTATCATCACCTCTTCCTCTTCCTGTTCGTCCATAACAGAGGAGGAGGAGGGAGCAGGCCGCCACACTCCAGCTGCTGCCTCTGATTGGTTGTTGCTCCTGACGTCTTGTTATGAAGAATTGTGAAGCTCCTCCCACTGTACGCTGGTGCCACTACTGCCTCCATTGTTGCCACTACTTCCCCCGCTGGTGCCACTACTGCCTCCATTGTTGCCACTACTTCCTCCGCTGGTGCCACTACTGCCTCCATTGTTGCCACTACTTCCCCCGCTGGTGCCACTACTGCCTCCATTGTTGCCACTACTTCCCCCGCTGGTGCCACTACTGCCTCCATTGTTGCCACTACTGCCTCTGCTGGTGCCACTACTGCCTCCATTGTTGCCACTACTGCCTCCATTGTTGTCACTACTTCCCCCGCTGGTGCCACTACTGCCTCCATTGTTGCCACTACTTCCCCCGCTGGTGCCACTACTGCCTCCATTGTTGCCACTACCTCCTCCGCTGGTGCCACTACTGCCTCCATTGTTGCCACTACTTCTCCCGCTGGTGCCACTACTGCCTCCATTGTTGCCACTACTGCCTCTGCTGGTGCCACTACTGCCTCCATTGTTGCCACTACTGCCTCCATTGTTGTCACTACTTCCCCCGCTGGTGCCACTACTGCCTCCATTGTTGCCACTACTTCCCCCGCTGGTGCCACTACTGCCTCCATTGTTGCCACTACTGCCTCCATTGTTGCCACTACTTCCTCCGCTGGTGCCACTACTGCCTCCATTGTTGCCACTACTGCCTCCATTGTTGCCACTACTTCCTCCGCTGGTGCCACTACTGCCTCCATTGTTGCCACTACTTCCCCCGCTGGTGCCACTACTGCCTCCATTGTTGCCACTACTGCCTCCATTGTTGCCACTACTTCCTCCGCTGGTGCCACTACTGCCTCCATTGTTGCCACTACTGCCTCCATTGTTGCCACTACTTCCTCCACTGGTGCCACTACTGCCTCCATTGTTGCCACTACTTCCCCCGCTGGTGCCACTACTGCCTCCATTGTTGCCACTACTTCCTCCGCTGGTGCCACTACTGCCTCCATTGTTGCCACTACTTCCTCCGCTGGTGCCACTACTGCTGCCTCCGCTGGTGCCACTACTGCCTCCATTGTTGCCACTACTTCCCCCGCTGGTGCCACTACTGCCTCCATTGTTGCCACTACTTCCTCCGCTGGTGCCACTACTGCCTCCATTGTTGCCACTACTTCCTCCGCTGGTGCCACTACTGCCTCCGCTGGTGCCACTACTGCCTCCGCTGGTGCCACTACTGCCTCCATTGTTGCCACTACTGCCTCCGCTGGTGCCACTACTGCCTCCGCTGGTGCCAATACTGCCTCCACTGGTGCCACTACTGCCTCCATTGTTGTCACTACTTCCCCCGCTGGTGCCACTACTGCCTCCACTGGTGCCACTACTGCCTAAATTGTTGCCACTACTGCCTCCAGTGTTGCCACTACTGCCTCCATTGTTGCCACTACTGCCTCCAGTGTTGCCACTACTGCCTCCGCTGGTGCCACTACTGCCTCCGCTGGTGCCATTACTGCCTCCACTGGTGCCACTACTGCCTCCATTGTTGTCACTACTTCCCCCGCTGGTGCCACTACTGCCTCCATTGTTGCCACTACTACTGCCTCCAGTGTTGCCACTACTGCCTCCATTGTTGCCACTACTGCCTCCAGTGTTGCCACTACTGCCTCCATTGTTGCCACTGCCTGTTGCCTCTACACTGTTGCCACTACTGCCTCCACTGGTGCCACTACTGCCTCCACTGGTGCCACTACTGCCTCCACTGGTGCCACTACTGCCTCCCACTGGTGCCACTACTGCCTCCACTGGTGCCACTACTACTGCCTCCGCTGGTGCCACTACTGCCTCCACTGGTGCCACTACTGCCTCCGCTGGTGCCACTACTTCCTCCGCTGGTGCCACTACTGCCTCCGCTGGTGCCACTACTGCCTCCACTGGTGCCACTACTGCCTCCACTGGTGCCACTACTGCTACTGCTCCACTGGTGCCACTACTGGTGCCACTATTGCCTCCACTGGTGCCACTACTGCCTCCACTGGTGCCACTACTGCCTCCACTGTTGCCACTACTGCCTCCATTGTTGCCACTACTTCCTCCGCTGGTGCCACTACTGCCTCCATTGTTGCCACTACTGCCTCCATTGTTGCCACTACTTCCTCCACTGGTGCCACTACTGCCTCCATTGTTGCCACTACTTCCCCCGCTGGTGCCACTACTGCCTCCATTGTTGCCACTACTTCCTCCGCTGGTGCCACTACTGCCTCCATTGTTGCCACTACTTCCTCCGCTGGTGCCACTACTGCCTCCGCTGGTGCCACTACTGCCTCCATTGTTGCCACTACTTCCCCCGCTGGTGCCACTACTGCCTCCATTGTTGCCACTACTTCCTCCGCTGGTGCCACTACTGCCTCCATTGTTGCCACTACTTCCTCCGCTGGTGCCACTACTGCCTCCGCTGGTGCCACTACTGCCTCCGCTGGTGCCACTACTGCCTCCATTGTTGCCACTACTGCCTCCGCTGGTGCCAATACTGCCTCCACTGGTGCCACTACTGCCTCCATTGTTGTCACTACTTCCCCCGCTGGTGCCACTACTGCCTCCACTGGTGCCACTACTGCCTAAATTGTTGCCACTACTGCCTCCAGTGTTGCCACTACTGCCTCCATTGTTGCCACTACTGCCTCCAGTGTTGCCACTACTGCCTCCGCTGGTGCCACTACTGCCTCCGCTGGTGCCATTACTGCCTCCACTGGTGCCACTACTGCCTCCATTGTTGTCACTACTTCCCCCGCTGGTGCCACTACTGCCTCCATTGTTGCCACTACTGCTTCCAGTGTTGCCACTACTGCCTCCATTGTTGCCACTACTGCCTCCAGTGTTGCCACTACTGCCTCCATTGTTGCCACTACTGCCTCCAGTGTTGCCACTACTGCCTCCACTGGTGCCACTACTGCCTCCACTGGTGCCACTGGTGCCACTACTGCCTCCACTGGTGCCACTACTGCCTCCACTGGTGCCACTACTGCCTCCACTGGTGCCACTACTGCCTCCGCTGGTGCCACTACTGCCTCCACTGGTGCCACTACTGCCTCCGCTGGTGCCACTACTTCCTCCGCTGGTGCCACTACTGCCTCCACTGGTGCCACTACTGCCTCCACTGGTGCCACTACTGCCTCCACTGGTGCCACTACTGCCTCCACTGGTGCCACTACTGCCTCCACTGGTGCCACTACCTCCACTGGTGCCACTACTGCCTCCACTGGTGCCACTACTGCCTCCACTGTTGCCACTACTGCCTCCGCTGGTGCCACTACTGCCTCCATTGTTGCCACTACTTCCTCCGCTGGTGCCACTACTGCCGCCATTGTTGCCACTACTTCCTCCACTGGTGCCACTACTTCCTCCACTGGTGCCACTACTGTCTCCACTGGTGCCACTACTACCTCCACTGGTGCCACTAATGCCTCCACTGTTGCCACTACTTCCTCCGCTGGTGCCACTACTGCCTCCGCTGGTGCCACTACTGCCTCTGTTGGTGCCACTACTGCCTCCATTGTTGCCACTACTGCCTCCACTGGTGCCACCACTGACTCCTCCAGTAGAGGGCCCAACTATATTATAGTGACCATGCTAGAGGTCCCTGATGATTGTGAAGGTCAGAATAATAATTCTTAATCGTTTCATGGGACAAATAATATAGATCGTCAATAATATTATACTAAATTATATGGATATAGAGATATAATGAAGGGGAGGAGGGAAGGGGAGGAGGGAAGGGGAGGAGGGAAGGGGAGGAGGGAAGGGGAGGAGGGAAGGAAGAGTTAAATATCTGAGCATCCCAGACGCTAGATGCTCTCGGACGCAGGTTCGAATCCTCGTCACGGCCCTTGTGGATTTGTTCAGATTAAACTACGTTAAGCGGGCTGGGATAGTATCCCAGATATCCCTATCCTGGCTCGTATTACGGTCTAGGATAATGGCCTCACCGAGCATATCTATACCCTCCCCCCCCCTAACCCATCCCTGGGACCCAATACCCACACACCCGGGTGTATTAACACCTGATCGCCCGCATAATCTGTGCTGCATACACTCCTCCTTGGTTGTGAGGGCGGCTAGGGTGGAGTGTTATAGCAGAGTCCTGTTGTCAGTAGGAGAACTCCTCCTCCTCCTCCTGTTGTCAGTAGGAGGACTCCTCCTCCTCCTCCTGTTGTCAGTAGGAGAACTCCTCCTCCTCCTCCTGTCGTCAGAAGGACTCCTCCTCACTCTAGTGTCGTGAAGCAGGATGAGTGCTATTGAATATGAGAGGTTTAACACAATGAGGGAGTGCAGGTGGGGCGGTGTGGGTGTCTGTCTAAATGTACCGTTATGTGTTTACAGAGTTTTAGCTCTAGGGTCCCGCCTTTCAGCCTCGGATATCTGCCTTCAGTCACATACACACAAAAATACTAGGCACAGCTTCGTGTCATCCTTTGCACATGATACAAAAATCAGCATGAAAATTTCCGCTGTATAAGACACTGAAAAACTGCAGGCAGGCTCCGAGGATCAACGTCCCGGCGGCCCGGTCTCTGACCAAGCTTCTTGGTTCGTGAACTGGTCAGCCAGACTGTTGGATGCAGCTGCTCGCATCCTGACCTATGAATCACAAAACCACATCGTGGTTGATCTCTCTCTTGGAGAGGTCGGCTTGCAGGAGTGGTAAAAAACTCACCTAATTGTGATTGCGGGGATTGAGCTTCAGCTCCTTGGTCCCGACCGTGATCCTAGGTTCATGTTCAACACGTTGTGGATACAAATGCGTATTTGGGAATACTTTTGAATTTCATAAACGGAGCGAGGAAACTTTTTTAGGTTATATCAAAAACCGAATTAAGAAATACATTTATTCACTGAGAAAAAATTATGGCTATACAAGGGGATCGAACCGGCGTCTCTGGACTTCCAAGGCATGTACTACCCACTGAACCTGGCTCAGAGTGCCTCAGACAGTGCCAGAAGTTAGATAACTGTCTCCTTCCGGTTGCATATATGTGCTGAACAAGTCTGAATTTGCAGCCGACTATATACATATGTATATACGTGTATATGCATATGTATATATGAATATGCATATGTATATACGTGTATATGCAAAGGTATATAGGTGTATATACATATGTATACGTGTATATGAATATGTATATACGTGTATATGTATTTATTATTTGTGCCTCCAGAATCGAGCTATTAACTCCTGGACCCCACCTTTCTAACCAATCTATTTTTCCTCTATTATGTTTACTACATATATTTCTTTCTAACACATGTGCATACAGGACCAAAGAGCCAGAGCTCAACCCCGCAAGACAAACAGGTGAGTACATCCCCAGGAAGCAGCCCGTAGCAGCTGTCTAAATTCCAGGCACCTATTTACTGCTAGGTGAACAGGAACATCAGAGTGAAAGAAACTGTGCTCATTAGTTTCTGGTTCGGCCGGGAATCGAATCCGGACCCTTAGGAATACGACCCAAGAGCGCTGTCCACTCAGCCTCGAGGAACCCACCCCCATGTATGTATGAGGAAATGTATGTATATGTTTGTATGTATGTATGAGTGTTCGCGGGAGAATATGAATGTGGGAGTGGAGGGGGAGGGGTCAGAGAGAAGGAAAAGGGAGGGTAGGGGAGGGTAGGGGTAGGTAGGGGGTGGTATGGGGGGGGGAAGTAAGGGGGCGTGTGTGTAACCCGAGTGAAGGAGGGGGGGAGGGGTCAGACCCATTGTCGCCTAGTCACACACACGAGAGCGAGCACGCGCGCCCGCACACACACACACACACACACACACACACACACACACACACACACACACACACACACACACACACACACACACACACAACAATAACAACAACATGGCAGTTTCTACTGGCAGCCTCTGCTGCCTGCAGAAACAGATCCCATCCACCCATCATGGGTGACTTCAACCACGGAAGGATAGACTGGGAGAACAAGGAACCACATGGAGGTGAGGATACATGGAGAGCTAAACTATTGGAGGTGGCGACAGAAAACTTTTTAAGCCAGCATGTCAGGGAACCCACAAGGATGAGAGGCAACGATGAACCAGCGAGACTCGACCTAGTCTTCACTCTGAATTACTCCGACATAAGGGAAATTGATTTCGAGGCCCCAGTAGGAATGAGCGACCAGAGTGTACTGACGTTTGAGTATCTGGTTGAAGAAGGGTTAATGAACTCAAGGAAGGGAAACTATGAGGAGATAAGAAAATTCCTGACAGATATACCATGGGAAACAGAGCTCAGGGGAAAGACGGCCCAAGACATGATGGACGTCATCACGCACAAGTGTAAGGAGGCAGCAGTCAAGTTTGTCCCGGTCCAAAAGGAAAAAATGAAATGCAGATGAGAAACCCATGGTTTAATCAGAGATATAGTCTAGCTAAGCAACGAAGTGCAAGGGTGTGGAGAAACTATAGAAATAACAGAACACTTGTGAGTCGAGAAAGATACCAGAGCGCCAGGAATAAACATGTGTGTCAGAAGAGAGGCAGAAGGGCAATACGAAAATGACATCGCAAGCAAGGCAAAGACTCAACCTAAATTACTGCACAGAGACTCAACCTAAATTACTGCACAGCCACATCAGGAGAAAAACAACAGTTAAGGAACAGGTAATGAAACTGAGGATAGGGGCAGACAGATTCACTACAAACGACAAGGAATTGTGTGAGGAACTGAATAAGAAATTCCAGGTCTTCACATTAGAGCAAGGAGAAGTTCCAGAGATAAGAGAGGGAATAGTTAACCAGGCACCACTAGAAGAGTTTGGGATTACCAGTGGGGATGTAAGAAAGCTCTTGCTAGAGTTGGATGTGACAAAAGTTATAAACCCAGGCGGAATCTCCCTTTGGATCCTAAAGGAAGGAGCAGAAGCACTGTGCCTGCCACTCTCCATAGTGTAAAACAAATCACTGGTAACAGTGGAACTGCCAAAAATTTGGAAGACGGCCAATGTAGTCCCGATATACAAGAAGGGGGATAGACAGGAGGCACTGAACTACAAGCCAGTGTCCCTAACTTGCATACCATGCAAGTTGATCGAGAAGATTGTGCGCAAAAATCTAGTGGAACAACAAGAGCGAAGGAACTTTGCAACACAACGTCAACATGGGTTCAGGGATGGCAGGTCCTGTCGCACAGGATTAATTGATTTCTACGACCAGACAACAAAAATCAGGCAAGAAAGAGAGGGGTGGGCAGACTGCATATTTTTGGAGTGCCAGAAACTTTGACACAAAATCACACAAGAGGCTAATGCAAAAGCTGGAGATGCAGGCAGGAGTGAAAGGGAAGGTACTCCATTGAATAAGGGAGCACCTAAGCAACAGAGGACAGCGAGTCAGTGTGAGGAGTGAGGTCTCAGAGTGGCGAGCCGTCACCAGTGGAGTCCCGCAGGAGTCAGTCCTTGGACCTATGTTGTATCTGATATGTATAAATGATCTCCCAGAGGGTATAGAATCGTTCCTCTCATTGTTTGCTGATGATGCAAAAATCACGAGGAGGATTAAGACAGAGGAAGATAGTAGGAGGCTACAAGAGGACCTAGACAAACTGAATGAATGGTCCAACAAATGGCTACTAAAATTCAACCCGAGTAAATGTAAGGTAATGAAACTAGGCAGTGGAAACAGGAGGCCAGACACAGGATACAGTATAGGAGATAAAGTACTTCATGAAACGGACAGAGAGAAAGATCTAGGAGTTGATATCACACCAAACCTGTCTCCTGAAACCCACATAAAAAGAATAACGTCTGCGGCGTATGCAAGGCTGGCTAACATCAGAACAGCGTTCAGGAACCTGGGTAAGGAACCATTCAGAACTTTGTATACCACATATGTAAGACCAATCCTGGAGTATGCAGCCCCCGCATGGAGCCCATATCTAGTCAAGCACAAGGCGAAGCTGGAAAAAGTTCAAAGGTATGCCACTAGACTAGTCCCAGAAGTAAGAGGCATGAACTACGAGGAAAGGCTGCGTGAAATGCACCTCGCGACACTGGAAGACAGAAGAGTAGGGTTTCAAATGTAGATATGGACATGGTTTCAAATGATATGGTAAGATATGGTTTCAAATGGACATGGTTTCAAATGTAGATATGATAAGAGCTCGCGAAGCTCATGAATCTACATCAGTAGATTGACAGTTGAGAGGCGGGACCAAAGAGCCAGAGCTCAACCGCAACAAGAACAACTAGGTGAACTAGGTGAGTACACATACAAGTTGATTAAGTAGCCAACCTCTGTCGGTGTTGTACATGGAACACCCCAACAAGCCCCCGAGCAACCAAAAGCCCGTGAAATCTACGTGAGACGACGACCCAGCGGTACCCCCAAGCCTGGTTGAGCAGCCCGTGAACCACGAGGCTTGATGAGACCGGGCCGGGGGGACACTGATCCCGGAAAAGAAGTGCAGGTAAGCTCAAGGTAAGGGAGGCGGCAGACAGCGAGGCCAGACGGGTCACATCTAGTGTTTCATAGAGAGGTGACGCAGTCGTCAGGCGGGCCCCACCTGTCGCTGTCTTCCTGTGGTCCTGGGGGGGAGGAGAGA